AAAGTATGGTCAAATTATGGTTTCGATCCCTCTATTATGCTAAAATTTGAGATCTAATTTATTTACTTTATTTCGACATATCTTTGACCTCATTAAAGACACCATAAACGTAGATGTGCAAATTAAAGTAAATTATAATGTCAAATTTCAGCTTCAACGTTTGACTGAGTAGTTATTTTGACTCGTATTTATCTTTTTAAAATATTTTAACTCTAATATTTTATTATTAATAAAAATGATTTATGATTGGATACAATTTATTATTGATTATTCAATATTTTTTGTTGATGTGATAATCTTATATGTAATAAATAATTAATGACATGATTACGTCGTCACTTTGGATATGTGACATGTATCACACTATTATTTTAGACATGTGTCACATCATCATTTTATATATGTCACATCATCACTTATGTATATGTTAGGGTGTGCGGTATCAGATTTTTTTTTATTTTCAAATTATTAATTTTAAAAATATATATACACAAATTTAAATGTTTGAAACTTCGAATTATTATTATATATATATATATATGTATGTATGTATGTATAAAAAAAACAACCGGGTACCCGAAAAACTTCAATTTTGTGACTCGGTCTCGACCGGAAAATGTGGGTTGAGTACCGACACCCGGGGTAAATTTTTTTAGAAAAATTAAATGTTTGAAACTTCGAATTATTATTATATATATATATGTATGTATGTATGTATAAAAAAAACCGGGTACCCGAAAAACTTCAATTTTGTGACTCGGTCTCGACCCGGAAAATGTCGGGTTGAGTACCCGACCCGGCCGGGTAAATTTTTTTAGAAAATTACCCGGTTTTTTAAGTCCGGGTCGGCGGGTCAGGTAGTTTTGCACACCCCTAGTACATGTGACAATGCCACGTCAGTCTTTTGAACACATAGGATTGGTATATTAGCGACAAACATTGATCGTAATCAACTAATAACTTTATCCAATTATGGCCCATTTTGACCCAAAATAAATGTTACAAAAAAAATAGAGATCAATGTGATTTTCGATCAAACGTTAATAGTGATGTATGCAAGCGTTTCTCAGTGACCATTATGAAATTTGATTTTTTTTGTTAATTGTTCATTTTATATATTGCACACACCCTGAAATTATATTTGTACCCACTCATACCAAAAATTTCTAAATTCGCTACTACATGTTTCGGCTAAATCTTGACATTATACCTAGATCAAAATATAGATGCTAAACCTCGAATTTTATCATAATAGAGAGGCCAAAACCATGATTTCGCCTAAAAGGATCAAAGAGAGCAATTAGTAAGAAAATGATGAACCTGGGAACAACTTCTCCAAGCATAGAGGTGTGAAGGCTTGAAGTTGAAACCTTACCCTTGGGAAGGTCACCCATGTAAACAATGTAAACCTGCTTCCACATTACAACAAAACATATTAAAATATATATGTATGTATGTATGTATGTATGTATGTATGTATGCATGCATGCACATACATTACATGTATTGATAAAAACATAGTAATTTCGTTTGCCTGTCGATTATAAGAGAAGCCATGACAGCATACGAGCATCGAAAGAGTGAAACCAATACGCAAAAGCCATGCAAAGGAGGAAGAAGAGGAGTGGTCTGCCATTTTTGAGTTGTGTGGAGCTTGATTTTTGAGTTTTATATAGGGTTTGTTGAGTGTTGGAATCAGCTCCGTTGGGATTCATTAATTTTTTAAAGCACTTGAGCTTTGCTAAGCTCGCCTAGGGGAACAAAGTTGTGCATTGCCGGCCAATCACTTACTAGGATCTTCGTTCTCCATCCACATTTTGTTTACGTCAATTGTCGATTACAAGAAGAAGAAAAAAGTCGAAACACAAATCAATTCGATAATATGTTAGGGTAAATTATGTGTTTAGTACTTAAATTATCAGTTTTATTCCATTTTAGTACCTAAACTTTCAATATTTTCAAAACTATACGTAAAGTTTAATTTTTATTTCACTTCAATACCTAAATCAGACAATCAATTACAAAGTAATTCAAGATAATCAATTACAACGTAATTCAAGATAATCAATCACATCGTAATTAATGATTAATCCAATTTATACATAACAAAATAATAATAAAAAATGGCATTCCCTCTTAGGTTGCGTTTGGATGGGGGAATAGAAGATTATCGGGGGGGGGGGGGAATTTTTTTCCAGAATGTGATACCCATGTTTGGATTGCAAAGATTCTTAGTATGGGTAATAAGTCATTCCCAACAGTGGCATTTTGTGAGTTTATTACCGGGAGTGTCATTTCCCCCAATCCCTTAGGTATTTGTCATTTCCCATGGTTTTGGACTAAAATGCCCTTAAAACAATTTTTTCCAAAAATATCCTTCTTTTGTCGTTGAATAAAAAATATTTTCTATGAAGGTTAAATTGCAAATTTATCCTTAAATTGTTTTAGATTTACAAAAAAGTCCACAATTAGAATTTTATATGAAGTCCAGGGGTTAAAATAAAATTAAACCCTTCCATTAAACCCATTTATCTTTTAAATTTTGTAAAAAATTATATAAATTTTATGAATTTAAATTTTATAAAGAAAATATATAAATTAAAATAGAAAAATTATATATTTTCTATGATTTTTTACACAAATACTTTCATTTGAATATTTAGAATTCAACTTGTTAAAAAACAAATATATAATAAGGACAATTTGGTAAAATATACATTCTAATAATCTTTTATTAATTTAACCAAACATTATAATCTTACATTCCTGCTAAACAAACAAAACACAATAATGCAACATTCCCAGTAATGTATTAGGTAATGTTACATTCCGGTAATCCTATTCCTGGAGGTACTGTTACATCCCATAAACCAAATGCACCCTTAGGGTGCGTTTGGTTCAAGGAATGTAGGATTACCAGTGGGAATAAAAGATTACTAGGGAATAGGATTACTGGGAATGTTGTATTTTGTGTTTGGTTGGTTTAGCAGGAATGTAAGATTACCGTGTTTGGTTAAAGGAATAAAAGATTATTGAAATGTATATTTGACCAAATTGTACTTATTATATATTTGTATAATATTACAAATTGTAAAATATTTATATTTTCTTTAAAAAATTAAATTCATAAATTTATATAATTTTTTACAAAATTAAAAATATAAAAAAGGTTTAATGAAAGGGTAAAAAAAATTTAACCCCTGAACTTCATATAAAATTTTAATTATAGACTTTTTTTTTGTAAATCTAAAATAATTTAAGGATAAATTTGTAATTTAACCTTCGTAGAATTTTTATTATTCAATGACAAAAGAAGGATATTTTTGAAAAAAAAAATAAAAATTTAATGGCATTTTAGTCCAAAACACCGGTAATGTTACAATACCTAAGGGAAGGGAGGTAATGACATTCCCGGTAATATACCCAAAAAATCTACTATTGGTAATAAAACATTACATGAGATGTAGGATTCCCATCCATGGGAATCCCACAATCCTTGAACCAAACACTCCCTTAGTGTTTTAAGCTTTATATCTTTATTTGTTAATTTGTTTTTATAAATAAGAGAACCCCTCTCAATTTTGGGTGTACGATATTTGAAGGTCACGTTTATGACAAGGGGAGCGTTCAATTCGAAAACTACATTAATTAAGACGATTTTTACTTCTGAAACAATGATTCATCCATGACACGATCAAAATTCTTATTTACCTTCTTCGATTATATTTTCAGTCCGCGCCAACGATTGTTTTTCACAATAATAACATATTTGACCCACAAATTAAAAGCAAAATTTTACTACAACTGAAAGGACAATGTTGAACAAGAGAGCACCTTGTCTCTCCAAGCTTAAAGATGATCAGATTAAAATATAAAAAATAAATCTATAACTGATGTATGTATTTGACACAAATAATCCATAAAATATAATTATTTGGAAGGAGCGTTCTTAAGAGAGAGAGAAAATTTCATGTGTCTTGGCCCAAGAAATGGTAAAATTATACTTAGATCCCTTAAAATTTTGTGAAGTTAATCCATATCATATATCACATTATATCTAACACTCGCACTCAAACTTCAAATATAAACATATATCATGTGGGTGGAAAAGATGAAAAATTGGTACTCAAATTTGACTTCAATGTTCAATTTGATACATATTTTTGATCCAATGACATATCAAACTTACGTACGAATTAAAGTACCAAAAATATTTATTCTAATATTTAATTACATTGTCTTGACTTTTTTACCTGTCAAAAGCTCACTAAGGTCCAAATCTTCGAAGAAGTCGTCGTGAATTGATATGAAATCGAGATCACCTGAATTATCACTTGAAACCTGCTGCTTCGGCGGCCAGTGTTGCCCATTTTTGGACCGACACCTGAAAGCGGCCGCTTCTTCGATGGCGAGGGTGACGGATTACTTGGACCGACACCTGAAAGCGGCTGCTCCATTGATGGCGAGTGTGACGGATTACTTGGACCGACATCTGAAAGCGGTTGCTCCTGCATCGGCAGTGAGTGTGATGGAATACTTGGATCGACACCTGAAAGCGGTTGCTCCTGCATCGGCAGTGAGTGTGATGGAATACTTGGATCAACACCAGAAAGCGGCTGCTGCATCAATGGTAAGTGTGACCAATACTTGGACCGGAACCTGAAAGCGGCTGCTCCATTAATGGCGAGTGCGTCGGATTACTTGGATTGACACTTGAAAGCGGCTGCTCCATCGATGGCAAGCGTGACCAATTACTTGGACCGACAGCTGAAAGCGGCGCTCATCGATGTTAAGTGTGACCAATTACTTGGACCGACGTCTGAAAGCGGCTGCTTCATCGATGGGTAGTGTAACGGATACTTGGACCGACACCTGAAAGTGGCTGCTCCATCGATGGGTAGTGTGATAGATTATTTGATCGACACCTGAAAGCGGCTGCTCCATCAATGCATAGTGTGACGGATTACTTGGATCGACAGTTGAAAGCTGCTGCTGCTGCATCATGCCAAGTATGACCAATACTTGGACCGACATCTGAAAGAGGCTGCTCCATCGATAGCGAGTTGTGACCAATTACTTAAACCAGCATCTGAAAGCGGCTGCTGCATCGATGACAAATGTGACCAGTTACTTAGACCGTCACCTGAGAGCGGCTGCTGCAACGAAACTCCCAACCAAGACTGGTAATCAAGAGGCACTGTTGTTAATGGAGTAGGCATCGGTATAAAACCAGCCTCCTGTCACAAAAAAATTGCAGGGTCTTGTCCCCGCATGGCATCAAAAGATTTCGGACACGGTGAAGCATGGAATCACAATATTGATCGTAAGTCGGCATCGGATTAATTCGATGTGCCATCCCATTTTCGAGCACTCGGCCTTCACCATGTCCTACGATCGCACCATCATCGGGTGACCTTTGGTCCTTAATCGGCATATTCAAGGCACCAGCACCAAACTCTTCACGTTGAACAAGAGGTGCAGTCCCATTTTCCTGCCCTTCACTCGACCTACAATTGCAGCCTTTGTCCCTTATTTAACTTCAATATACCTTAGACGCTACCCAATCATCAAGCTGAAGATAAAGAAAAATAAGCTTCAGAAACATCATTCCACAGAATTTCTTTCACGTAAATTCGAAATATCGTAAAAGAACAATTACCCGCATGTCGTTTTTAGAAAGTCTTTGTCTTACTGGTTGATCGCTCGCTACATATTCATGCATCATCCAATCAGTTTTGTCACCAGCAGGCGCTCTACCTTTGAAAAAGACTAAACTCTTCTTCAATCCAACTTTCTCTCTTCGTACACGACCTCTTTGTCCTTGCCGGTCGCCTTCCAGTACCCGTCACCAGCACTTCGACTCGGCCTCTTGCCGTTCCCGTATTTACGATCTCGCGGCGTGAAGAAATACCACTCCATCACCTCTCCATCCGACGTTCCATTGTTGTTAATCGCTGTCGACACAAATAACATCAATATTCACCGTAAAGATCGTACGTACGTAACAAGATTTCGATATTAAACAGACATTGATTTCAAGAAAAAAACAAATAACCTGTAAGAGTCTCGGGATCATGATCATAGAGTTTGACATCCCTGAACAAGTTTGGCGGAAGTTCTTGATCTTTAATCTTTCTTTTCAGGTAAAACTCAATCAGTTCTTCGTCTTTCGGCTTGAATCGGTAACCTGGAGGAATCGAACTCAGTAAAGCTGCTGCTTCTTCTTCCTTGGACTTGATCGACGACATTGGAGATTTGCCTTTATTCCCTCTTTCCACTGGGATTTTAGTAAAATAAGTAAAGCTATAAAAAAAATTAAATTTGTTCATCTTATAAGGATAACTGATAGCTTATCTATTGATCAATTCGGTTAGTAGAATTATTGTTGACTTCGAATAGTTATTAAATTATCATTTTTTTAATATTTAATTTAGAAAAAAATGTTAATTTGTTATATTTAACCTGTAAAATATTTTACACAATGAGAGTAGAGTTCAACTGGAATTAATATTCATATTTTCATATTTTAATCAATTACTAATAAAAAGAATTTAGTTAAATTTTTTCGAATTCAAATTTTCGGATTCAGATTGAGTCGGATCATAACAACTTAAATAAATTCAAATAACTATAAAGTTTATGGGTTAGGAATGTACTATTGAATATGTTAATATATTATACTATATCATGAATGTCATCTCATTATAACATATAACAACAAAAATTATATTATATTGATAAAATTCTAACTAAATAACTCGAAAAAATGATAGATACACACAAACATTATTCTCGATAATGAAGGGTAAACACTATCAACACTGACATAAAAAACATATAACGATGATGATTCATTGACAAACTAACGTTCTTACAATTCAATCGTGAAATATATTTATTAATTTTAGAGCCTATCAATACCTAGTCACAATACCTAGTGTGACTATCCAAACCAAGGATAGATCAACAATATAACCAAATAAACGTCATCTGAATCTGGAGACATGATATCAAAACCAATCGTGAGAAAAAGAAATAAGAAAAACATGTTACAAGAGGTGACGGAGAATGTACTACCTTTTTCGTATTCATTGTCTTAAAAGCAACTTCGCAAAAAATAAAAATCAAATGTGTTTCCTCAAAATCCACAACTTAAAATTGAAGGAGAAACTAGCCTAAGGATAATTCAGTAAAAAAATTAAAGTATATATCTTAAGAAGATTTTCAAAAAATCTAATGAATTTGAATTTTAAATTCAAATAAAAATTATTTTAACTCAATAAAATATGAAATATAATCTGATATTTTATAAAAAGAACGGTAGATTACTTGAATGACCACCTAACTATGGGATCAGTGTTGATATGACTACTATTTTTAAAATTTTGTCAATATGACCACTTAACAATTTAATTGATTTCAATCTAGTCACTTGTTAATATTTGACGGAAGTGTTGATGTGACAGTAAATAAAATTAGTATAATTATACATTTTGTCCTCATTACTTATATATTCTATGAATTTAGTCCTAGTTTTAATTTAATTCAAAATTTTACTATACAATTAAAAGGTGTCACATGTCGACCTATTATTGTGAGATATTTCATTAGTGACATGTAATAAAATTATCTTTAGTAGAAAAATAAGTTTTGAAGGATTAGTGAGGAGGCAATTGGTTGGTACTTGGCATAGTTGTCCTATGAGTATTGATAAAATCATTCGTAAAAATGTATCAGATGTCTCTGTATTTTCTTTTTAAAAAGACAATGTGACCCTTGTATTATTTTCTCTTAATGTGGTCCTCTAACTCATAAAATAAACCCAATGTGACTCTCTGACCAACATTTTTTCGTCGTTGACCATTACAGTGCTGGCATGACAATCTATGGTGGTAGATTAACGTGGCAGATGACATTGCAAATGGGCTAAATTGGTAACTCAAACATGACAGATGGATTGTCACGTCAACACTGTGGACCGCCATACCAACACCGTGAACTGTAGTGTCAACACTGTAACGGTCAACGATAGAAAATATTGGTTAAAGGGCCACATTGAGTTTACTTTCTGAGTTGAAGGGTCACATTAAAAGAAAAAATAATACGAGTGTCACGTTGATTTTTTTCAAAAGCATAGGGACCTCTGATATCTTTTTGCCAAAATTATTTTGATTTAGAACAAGGGATAATGTGAGACTCATTGAGATTAAATTTTGCTATGTTTATTTTTGATTTGTTGCGTGGACTTCAGAACTCTTAGCAAGTGTTTGTATGTGTTTCAGTTTTGTTTGAATAGCATTGTACGGTGGATGTGAGTAAATTTTAGTTTTGCCTATGTGTAAGTTGAAGCATGCAATATGATTTGATATGTCAGAACTTAAGATTTTTTTTATGGCTTAATTATAAAATAAGTGATCATAGCGTTTTTCACGAATAGGTGTTTAAAATTTTGTTGAATGGTCCAAGTGTCTAATGTTACAAATGTTACACTTAGGTGTCCGAGCCGTAGACGTCGTTAATTTTTTCGTTAAATAATATGTGTCACATTCTGGTAATTTTAAAATTTTTATTTAAAATTAAAAATTAAAATTATATTTTCTAAAAACACAAAAATTTCAAAATAGCTCCAAAACTTTGAAACCCTCATTTCAACCCCTAAATCCACGTCGATTGCTGTCTTTTTCCGTCGGCGAAGCTCCACCCGATCTCACCTCCCCCGACGATCAATAACCCCATGAAATCGTGACCAACTGATGTATTGTATCTTGCAAATCCTAGGCTGAAAATCACAACCCCATGCAATCCCAACGGCCAATCGGCGACAACTATGGCGGCGTTTGACTAGGAAGATAGCATGAACTACATCGACGACGGTGATCGTGGCCGGAAAGGTCGACGATGGTGGGTTAGGGTTAGGGATTTTGGGTTTTTTTTTGTAATTTAAGAGAAATTAGGATTTTTTTTTATAAATATAATAATATTTTTATTTTAAAAAAATTAAATTACCAGAATGTGACACGTCACTTAAATGAGAAAATTAACGACAATTACCGTTCGGGCACCTAAAATGATAATGTTTGTAACGTTAAGCAGATGGGTCATTCAAAAAAAGTTTGACCACCTATTCATGAAAACGCTATAGTTTGGACACTTATTTTATAATTAACATTTTATTGATTGCTTTGTTTAGAGAAGTTTGAATCCATAAATATGGTATGTTAGACTTACTAGAAGCACGAGATGACTTTTGAGACATGAAAAGGTAGAATTATGACTTAAAATATACGCACTATGGCTTAAAATGAACTATAGGATCTAAATTTTGATATAAGACTTCTTTTTATTGTTATACTTGTCATGCAAGTTTACTTTTATATGTTTGATATGTCGGCGCCAATGAGTGTTGGCACAAGTGGTTGAGATTCAAGAATTTGAGCTTGTAAGGTCAATTTCGAATCCTACTATTGTCACTCTTGGTGGGCAATCTGTAAATTCCTATGTAAATCCCAATAGGGTCTTAGGTATGGTCTGACCTTGGACTGGGGGAGCCACCATTTACCTAAACTTTCGTGTACCAAGTTGCTTTGTTGAGTCCCTCGACTATTAAAAGTTACAAAATGGTCACTCGACTATTCATTATGTTTCAAACTTATCATTTTTCTTTAAAAAATTAACGGTCGCCTGAGTTGGACGTTAGCAAGTTGATTGAGATATGATAGTCATTTAAGATTATGAGATCAGATTTTATCATATATCAGTCAGCAGGTTAACGTGCAACTCAAATTGCCGTTTGAATTTTAATGGAAAATGATGAATTTAGGACAAAATTAATAGTCAGTTGGTCATCCTGTAACTTTTAATAGTCGAGGGACTCAACAAAACAATTTTCTATAATTAATGGACTATTTTGTAATTTTTCATAATCAATGGACTGAATAAAATATTATCCTATTGTTAGAAAATCATTTGTGTACTTTATCAAAAATTAGATGCATGATTTAAGTCTGATGTGTTTTAAGTCATTTCAATAATTAATGTAACATACGATATTCGAATCTGATCATCCTAATTAGATACTAAATGTTACAAATCCCGCTCTTCTTGTTAAAGAGTTACGCCCTCAATTTCCTCACTTTCTTCTTCGGTGACATCCCTGAACCTTCTGTCACTGATGCAGGCTCCGGCTTCTGTTGTTGCTGCTTGCAGCTGCAGCAGGGCCTCGCTTCCTTTTTGCAGAAGCCGGTGGCTTACCGGCATTGGAATTTGTTGCCGGCTTACGTCCACGTTTCTTGGCCGGTGCTGCTGGTGCCCTTTTGCTAGGCTTTTTCTTTCCAGCAGGTCCTTGGGCCACATCAGTTTCCATTTCTGTGACAATGATCTGCTTAACACTAATCCTATCTGGCCAATGAGCAAATCTAACATCAAAGTATAGGATAAGAACATACCAGCAGAATGATTAGGAGGTGAATCGATGTTGTGCTTGGTTAGACACTCCCTTAGATCGGGAATATCGAAGTTGTCATCATCATCGTTGTCATCATCATCGTTGTCATCCTGCCAATGAACATGGAAGTAACAAAAGGTTGAAAGACCGGGCATGAGAAAAAGAGAGTAGTTCATATGAAAACAAAAACCAGACCTTCTTATCCTTTTTTGCACCACCTCGGCCTTCGGGTTTAACAGCCGCAGCAGGAACTTAGACTTGTCCATACCAACATCAGACATGAACATCAAACGCTGTCACAACGGCTTAATGTTTAGAGTGAAAAGGAATAGAAACTTGGATCACAAGCAAACCTGTTTCCATTGAACATGGTAAAATATCTGACGCTGAGGCTTCTGTAACAGCTTGTTCTTTCTTATTTGTCTTCCTTGTGTTTTTAGATTCTCCTCTCCCACCCGTCTTGCCAGCTCCATTCTTCGCTCCACCTTGACCGTGGTGTTCTTCCGCTTTTTTTATCAGCTTTATCTTCTTCCTGATTAAACAAAACAGAATGTCATAAGCATGAGAAAAAAGAGAGTAGTTCATATGAAAAAAACCAAACCTTAGAGTTCTTTGCACCACCCCGGCCTTCGGGTTTCACAGACGCAGCGGGAACATTTTCTGGTTCAATCGAGTGGACGAAATCGTTATCAATTTTCAGATCTTCCATGTCAGATTAACAGACTTTCCCATACCAACATCAGACATGAACATCAAACGCTCTCACAACGGCTAAACTTTCAGAGTGAAAAAGGAATAGAAACT